GGGGTTGGGGGGGTGGTGACCAGTGACTGCCCACAGAAGCCAGAGGCAGCAGTGTCCAGTCACAGGGGGGAGGGCATGTGTCCCCCCCCACCAGTCTCCTATGCCTGAAGTTTTTGTGTTTTAATACTGACAGCTGGGAAAGGCACCAAAACCTAAAATATTCTAAAGAAATGGGGGGTTAAGGTGGGGGCATGTGGGGAGAAGCAGGAATAGTAGACACCTAGGCTAGATTCCTAAGTGAGCATGGCACTTTAAGGGCCTCCCCACATCTTGGTTTGTATTTTCAGAGGGAAGAGGAGTATATTCCATACCCCAGCATCCACGAGGTGAGTCACAGCCATCTCCCTACTGCTTCTCTGCTCTCTTTCTCCCTCCCTTTCAGTTTATTGGCTTCACAGAGTACATAAGCACAGATCCTGTTTGTCTGTACAGGTGTTACGGAAAGGTTGGCCATACCCCCTTATTATCTTACCCCAGTTTGGGGGTTACTGGATTGAAGGGACCACCCACAGTTTCTCCAGCTTGACCCAGGCTCCGTCTGATCTGCCATCCCCTTGCAGTGGTAAAGTGAAGTTGGAGTGTGACCCCACAGCGAAGCTGTATCGCAAATACTTCCTTGGGAAGGTAAGGGGGACCTCCATCACCTTTCTACCCACCCAGCCTCCTGGCTAGACCAGACCTCAAGTCCTCCCTGAAGGATTTAGGGTTAACTGCACTTTTTTATGGATCCCAGTCCCCAGCGGCCAAAAATGAATAAATGAGATGTTTCCCACTATTCAGCAAGCAATTTGTTATGACAGATGTGTTCTTTGTGGTCTGTGCACTGTTCTTCCTGTGCGCTCTAGAAAAGACATGTTTCAGATATAATAAAGGAGATACTTTGTCACTTGTGTAGGCACAGACATAGACCTTTGGATGTGGAAGAAAAACAAATGTAAATCATACAGAGATAAAATGCTGTTTAACCCATGTTAGTCAGGAGTGAAGTGCTGAAGTCAGATCAGCACAAATGGCCTAAGCATCTATCAGGAGCAGGCATGGGGAGGAGGACCACTCCTGCACATCACTGCTGCTCCCATTCCAGCTGAACCCAGCCCCCATGAAGCCTGGCTGGTTTGAACAGGAGTGGCTGTGAAGCTTCCTCCACCTTGGGACAGCATGGAAAGTAGCAGCAGCATGTGGGGGAGCAGGGAGAGGGGAGGGGACTCTGAGCACAGAGGGGAAGGGAGGGAATTTTTACGTGCTTTGGGGACTTTAAAGAAGGCCCCAGAAGTTCCTGAAGTGTGGCCCAGTCTGAAAGGTGCAGGCGTGGCCCTACATTCCCTCTGGATCCATCCCTACCTACTTCTCAGGAGAGCAACCCACTTACCAGGCTACAAGCTAAAATGAGCACTCTTCACTTCTCCCATTAGGCCAATATTCAGGAAACAATACAAGATTTATGAGATGAGGAAGACAACAGCTAAATGGGGCATAGCTTTGTAGTCTGGTAATGAGTGCCTCCCCTGGGGAGATTTGAGTTCTGGGTTAGGTCTTTGCTCCCACCACTTTATGCGTTTTACTCAATGGCTTTCTAATCCCCTCTTTTCTCTTTCTGGCATAAAAAGTCTTGCATTCCTTGCTGCACAGAATCCCAGATTCAAAATTAAGGGCAAAGAATCCTTTCATTCCAGTTTATAGCCAAATGGTTAAAGTGCTCTCCTAAGAAATAGGGGTTTGAGCCCCCCCAGCTGAGAAGGAAATTGAATCATTGTTCTGCTTCCTGGGTGAGTGGTACAGCCACTAAGTCACTTGTATATGAGGAGATAATTAAGGCACCTAAGTCTAGGCAGGAATTTCAGGCTGTGAATCCATTTAACTTAAGTGCTTAACTTTGAGCTGCATAAAGTCTCCTAACTTTGGAAAAGAGGTGGGATTTCAAACACACACCCCTCTGCAGTGTCACATATTGGCAGCTACTCAGAGTGTTGTTTTCTGAGATGCCCAGTTCTCACTACAGGGGTGTAGGTTGTAACCATGTTCGCCTAAGGACATGAGCAGACAAGATTCTTTGGGTAAATCTGATATCTTTTATTAGACCAACTCAAATAGTTGGAAAAATTCTTCTTAGCAAGCTTTTGGGTTTAAAAACCCTTTGTCAGGCTGAGAAAGCATCTGCAGTTGGTCTGTGCTCTTCCTGGATGGAATGAATAGCAAGGAAACCAGAGGCTGGTATGCATGCAAGAAAATATGCAGTCAGTAAATATGTAAACTGAGGAGTCAGTGGGTGAGAGACAGGCCAGCGGTGTGGCCCTCCCATGGGGAAAGTGGGGGCAAAGAATGTAGCTGGTAAATAGTGGAGAGGTACCTGGGGAGTCAGATGTTAGGAAGGTTATAATGTGTCATAATTCCAATGTCTATATTTTGTCCATGATTTTTTGTATCCTGGAAGTTGATGAAGTGAAGTTCATAGGCTTGTCTGTGAAAAGTGTTTTGTAAATTTCCTTTGAGAATTAGAACTGAGAGATTGGAGAGAGTGGTTTTGTTGTGAGAATTGTACCCCCACAGGTAACTGGGTATTCTTGTCTTTAATGGATTTCCAGTGTGGATTCATTTGGTGCATAGTTGTTGTTTGGTCTGTCTTATGTATTTTCTATCAGGATATTTGGTGCATTGGATAAGATATATAACATTTCTGGAGGTGCAGTTGTAAGATCCAGGAATGCTAATGGTTCTGTTGTGGAGTGTAGTAATTGTGGGGGTGGTGGAGATATGTTGGCAGGTTTTACATTTCTTCTTATGGCATGGTCTGGATCCAGTAGGTGTGGTTTTGGCTGTAGGAAGTTTGCTTGTGGTGATGAGATTAGTGAGGTTAGTAAGCCAGTTCTCACTACCAAATTCTTTTCTAAATGCCTAACATAGCCTTGTGAATTTCATCGCAAAGCCAACCACATATTTTTAGATGCTAAAATGATTGAAAGTTCCTTTATGACTATTACCTTTGAACATACATGAAAATTCCTTTATGAATAAGTCATAGAGGCTTGTGCATTCAGTGCTGTGCATCCCAGGTTCTTTCCTCGCTAACGACTTGTGGATGGTGTTTCTATGATCCAGAAAGGGAAAGGGAAAGCTGTCACATGTCCTGAGAGGTGTCCTCCAAAGGACTGGGGGAACTTGGTAATAGCAAATATTCTCTAGGGATACACTGATAGAGATTTTGGGGGCCGATACTGATAGTCAGTTTTTAAGGCAGCATATCAGCTGATACTGATTCGATTTCCAATACCCAGTTCTTCAGCTTGAAGAGCTGCATCCAGCTGGTAAGTCTGGTGTGGTGGAAGGGGAGGGAAGGGGTATGGGTGTGGGGGGCAGATCAAGGCCTCTGCGGTGAGAGAGGGACGGGCTGGGGCAGGCATTGACCAGCTGGGGCAGGGAGGGGCGTGGGACAGAGCTATAAATGACTCATCCGGGGTGGGGGTGTACCCCTCTGGATCTGTGCAGTGCGGGGCGGGCTGCAGCTGTAGGCTGGGCTGGAGCTAGGGTGCACGGGGAATGGAGGTGCGGCTCATGGGGGGTGCAGGAAGGGAGGGAGGCATCTCCTACCTCTGCGCATGGCTCATCCGGTGCTTGTCTGGCACCTCCTACCACTCATCTGGGAGGGCATAGGGGCGGGGCATGCCCCCAGATCTGCCCAGCCAGGAAGAGCCCAGCCTCAGCCCGCCCTGCCCCACCTTGTGGGCACATGCCCCTCCCCCCTGTGCCTTCCTGGATGAGCAGCAGGAGCAGGGGCAGGAGCCTCCAGACAAGCACTGGACGAGCTGCATGCAGCGACAGGAGCTGCCCACCCCATCCCTTCCCATGCCCTGCCCTGCCCCCCCGATCAGATGCGCCTCTGTCACACACTTGCCCTGGCCCTGGCTGGGCAGTCCCAACCCCAACTCCACACCCTCCCTCACCGCCGGGGCCTTGATCTGCCCCCCCACAACCTCCCCCCTCCCCTTCCCCTTCCACCACACCAGACTTACAAGCTGCATGCAACACTGCACACTGCCAGGCTGTGGTCCTTGCTGCCTGTGTGCTGCACTGCAGCTGCACGCACACATGGGCATTTATTGGACAAATTATCGGCCGCATCAGGCCGATTTCCGATACAGAAAATTTTCTTTATATCAGTGCCGATCCGATATCAGACCGATGTATCAGCGCACCTCTAGTATTCTCTGGTGAGTACACTGTGGTAAGGAGCTTTTTTCTGACTTCCTGTTTTCAGGAGCACCAGAACTTTTACTCCAATGACACAGCCTTGGGCTACCTAATCCTTTCTGTGAAGTATGAGCAGATTGAGAAGCAGGACAATCTACGCCTATTGCTAAGGTAACAGCATCCAGCTTTAAGGGGCATGTGCCATGCTCTGCCTCTGATCTTACTAAGCAGCTTTCCTGTGGCCCACATGTGGACACAGACTTCATGAGCTAATATGAATGGTTAAAGAAACCTTAGGAATGGTTACAGGGAAATCTGACTTGGGCTGGGCACCTTTTTATTAGAACCATCTTTGAAAGTTCACTTCTTTTTTACCTCCCAATTTCTCTCAGTTGGCCAGTTGTAGAAAGCTGAGGGCTCCAGTGGTGTTTGCAGGCTCATCTTTGGAACACCCCGTACCAGCGGTGTAGGGACATGGCTGGCCACCCATGGCTAGCCACCCAAGTGGAAGTGGTGACTTTCAATTGCCCTCACAATTGCAAAGATAAACGGGGATGCTGGCAACAGCTGCTTTTTTTTGCCCTCACCCCCAACCTAAGTCTGCCTGAGGTGGTCACCCCTCTCTCCCTGCCACCCCCAACCCCTGCCCCTTTTAGTTAATACTGTTTTCCCCATAGTAGGAGTGAGAGGAATCTGTTCCTCCCTTCTTTGCATAATGAGGTCCTACTGGGCAAGTGAGGAATGAATTTTTCCATAAGACCCCATTGGCTGTATCTGACCTTCCAAACAACACTTTTGTTCTTCTTATTCTTTTGAATAGAGATATGTGGCCTTCTCTATGGGAAACTTAAAGAGGGACTGCATATATTGTCTTTTTTGGAAGGACAAGGTAGCTAATCCTTACACACAGCCCCCCAACTTGAAGGGAGACAAGGTTTTTGGGGTAAATCTGATGTCTTTTATTAGACCAACTCAAACAGTTGGAAAAAATTCTTCTTTACAAGCTTTTGGGCACAAACACCCTTCATCAGGCTGAGGAAGCATCTGCAGTTGGTGCGTGCTCTTCCTGAATAGTAAAGAATCCAGAAGCTGGTATGCATGCAAGAAACGCAGTCAGTGACAACATAAATAGGAGTCAATGGGTGAGACAGGGGGAATGATTGTAGCTGGTAAATAGTGAAGAGGTACCTTCCTTATGTGCCATAAATCCAATGTCATTTGGTCCATGATTTTTTTGTATCCAGGAGGTTGATGAAGTGAAGTTCATAGACTCATCTATAAAAAGTGTCTTCTAAATTCCCCTTGAGGATTAGAACTGAGAGACTGGAGAGTGGCTTGGTTGTGAGAAATGTGCCTCCACAGGTAATTGAGTATTTCTGTCTTTGATAGCCTTCCAGTGTGCATTCATTCTGGTGCGCAGTTGTTGTTTGGTTTCTCCTGCATATTTTCCATTGGGGCATTTGGTGCATTGCATGAAATATATAACATTTCTGGAGGTGCAGCTGTAAGATCCAGGAATGTTTATGGCTCTGTTGTGGGGTGTAGTGATTGTGGCGGTGGTGGAGATGTGTTGGCAGGTTTAGCATTTCTTGTCATGGCATGGTCTGGATCCATTCGGTGTGTTTTTGGCTGTAGGAAGTTTGCTTCTGGTGATGAGGTTAGCAAGGTTCGGTGCTTGTTTAAAGGCTAAGATGGGTGGCTCTGGAAAAATGTCTTTAGAAGTGTGATCTGTCTCTTTGGAGGAGTGTCCTTGTTGAGTGAAAGCTTTTCTGAGATTTGTGAGGGGATGATCACGGGTGTTCCCCTCAGTGCAAATTTGGTGGTATCGGAGAGCTTGGTTATACATTACAGCTTGGTGCGTTTAGGGTGATTGCTGGTTCTGTGCAGATATGTATGTTGGTTGATGGGTTTCTTGTATATCATGGTCTGTATTTTACCATTCTGGATGGTGATCATCATGTCTCAAAAGGAGATGTTGGTGTTGGAGTATTCAAAAGATAGTTTGATGGAGGGGTGATGATTGCTGAATTTCTGACGGAAATCAATCAGAGATTGCTGGTTTTCTGTCCAAATGATGGTGATGTCATCAATATATTTTAAGTATAGCAAGAGTTTGATGGTGCAGTCCTTGCGGCATTCTTTTTCCAGGTGGCTTATAAAATAGTTGGCATACTGTGGGGCTGTTTTGGTGCCCACAGTTGTGCCCAGGGTCTGGAGGAAATGTTGGTTATTGAAAGTGAAGTTGTTGTGTGTGAGGATGAAGTGTATACAGTCAGTAATATCTTTGGGTCTGTACTCTGAATTGTCATCTTGCTCTTTTAGGTATGTAAGACAGGCTTGGATGCCATCCTGGTGTGGGATGTTGATATATAAGCTGGCAACGTCCAACATCCAACATTGAATCTGAGCTTGGAATGTTTTAAGGGGTTGGTGTTGTTTCTCTGATGGTTGTTTTGTGGTTGGGAAAGTTGTTCCTGGAGTAATTGGTTTAATTTCTTCTTTTTATCTTGGATGGGTGTTTTAGAAAATCTTTGGTAGTCTGGTAGTCTCTTTGTATACATTGTATAATATTAGGAAAGATGTCTGGATTTTTCTTTTAAGTTGTCGTAGCATGTGGTGATTTCCTTCCTGAGTTGATCTCTTTTGGAGTAGATTAGGTGAAGATGATTTCTAATTTTCTCTGAAGTTCTCCTGCAGAGCTGTAAAGCATATTTGGAGTTGTGTATAGTAGTCAGAGGTTTGTAGTTGTTTAGTCTTTTGGGAACAATGTTGTGTTTCTTGCATAGGCTTAGAAAATATATGTCACTGTTGAGTATGGCTTCTTTCTTTGTCTTGTTGTGTAGATTATTAGCTATGTAATATATCTCCCTAAATTTGGGGTTTGGGCTTGTGATCTAGGACTGGGTGTGGGTGTTCCACAGGTCCTCACAACAACCTACAAAAGTTCAGTACTGAGTGTATGTAGATGAAACTTTGCCCTAAGTTGAAGCAATGGGTTTTTTAAAACACTGCTTCAATTTAGGGCAAAGTAACCCCCATGTCATGTACACCTGTGTCTTACCTGCCTCTCCAGCAGTGGGAAGGGGAGGGCAAGCTGCTGGTGGATGGAGCGGTCCCTGGGCTGCGGGGATGGGGGCTGGTGTTTCCCTCCATGTTAGCGGTGCCCCCCCACCTCCCCAGGCGGCACCTGCCCAGAGGCATCCAGCTGGGGTGGTCCTGGGCCACCGCGTCTGCAGAGGGAAGGACGGGGTCCCCGTGCAGCTCATGCAAGCAGGCAGGCTCCAGAGGAAAAAAAAAAATCAGGCTTGCTGCTTTGTTTTTGGCTTTGGTGGAGCCTGCCTTCCCAGGCTGCTGCCAGGCTGTCTGCACGGACTGCCTGCACAGCCCCCAGTTGCACAGAGCCCGGTGCTTCACGTAGGGCAAAAAACTAAAATTCCTCAGAGGTGTTCTAGTTTGCTGTGCCCCAAAGCCACTTAACTCTTCTTAACACTCTTACGCTGCCAAATGTGCTGCAGCAGCTGGAATTAATGCACAATATGCTGCCGACGTCCAAACACCAACACCATTAAAGCAGTACAAAAGCATTTAACCTGCTTTAAAGTGTCGTGCATGCATGCCCCTTGTTTTGTGTACACACGCCCTTTGCCCCTACCGGCAACCACAGCCAGAAGAGTTCAGTCCCCATAGACCAGAGCAGTAGTCCCCATCCAGTGGCACACAGGGAAAATGTTATCTGCAAGACCCTCTAGTGCTGTTTACAGCTGCAGGAAATTTTGCTCTCCATAGACACATATGTCTTTGGGTTGACACTATTGCCTACAGCAAGTTATTTGATTAACCAATGGACCAATGAATAAGCTAAGCTAGAGAAATAACAATTAAAATGCATCTGATATACATTACCACCCTCCCCAGTCCAAGAGGTGTAGAGCAACCTAGGGGTGGGACAGGGCCATATAGAAGAGAATATTTTGCTTTTATATCCCAGTGCAGATGGGGAATGCTGCAGAGTTCAGAGGCAAATAGTTTTCTAGGAAACTTAGGGAAGGTTAAAAGCTGTACCAAAGAATATGTATTTCTGAACACAGAAACAGACTTGGAAGGCACTGGTGGCTGGTTGAAAAATAAAACAGGACTGACCCCCTCCATCATCTTGCCTCCATGCAGTAAGACTTAAGTATGGAGTCGGTAGACTAACGAAAGCCAGGTGGAAGGGAGCTATTTCCATGACCTATGAGGATCATTTTGTGGATGGAGTAGTACATTTTGGATAGATAAATAATGTATTTGAATCCCATTCTTGTCCCAATATATTCCATTCTGTGTTAATGAAATATGGTGTAGCATATGCAGGAAAAGGTCCCAAAGAAATGATGGAGATTACACTGCTGCAACCCCATTATTTCTGTCTCATCTTTTGGTCATCTTAGACACTACATGTGTATATCCTAGCTAAGCCAATGTGCAAACCTGAGAGCTATCTTTCTTCCATAAATAGAGATCTGAAGGGACTGCAACATCCTCTTCAAGGAACCAGAGTAATTATTACATGGATTTTTCTTTGGCATCTGTTCTAATCATTTTGTTTGTTATGTCAGGACTCGAACTGGCACCAAACATGACTTAATCCCCATTTCCTGCCTCAATGAGTTTCCCAATGCTGTTCAGATGGCAAAGGTGAGATCCCTACTTAGTATATTCACTCTCATACATGCTGTCTAGCTCTGCTTGACTATTACTTTTTAGCTTCTTTTTGCTCACTTTTCTCTTATCCCACTTTCTCCTATGGAATTCATCTTTTCACTCTTTCCCTCTCCATTCTACTACTTCCTTTGGGAAGAAGGAAATTGAAAGCAAAGCAGAATAATATCATTAACTCATGTAAATCTATGGTACACCCACACCTTGAATTTCATGTGTAGTTTTGGTTCCCCCACTCCACCTCCAAAAGGATATAGAAGAAGTAATAGAAGAGGTACAGAGAAGAGCAACATGATGAGCAGGGGCGTGGAGGGGTTCCGCATGAGGAGATGCTAAGTAGATTAGGACTTTTCAGCTTAGAGAAAAGACAACTGAGATATAGAATACAGGGCTAGAAAGGCTCTGAGCTTACCCTGTATGGCATCTATTACTGTAACCTTTCTTAGGGCAATTATGCTGTCGGCAAGCTGATCTTGCTTTCTTCTCCTATTTGACAGCCCTGGAGACTCTAGCTCTTTCCAAAATCATAGATCCATCCATGGTGACTAGACTTCAGCAGCAGCTATGGTTTCAGCTTTAGTTAAGCAGGAATGGGAGAGTGAGTCAGTTGAAGATTAAGCTCTGTCCCTGCTCTATGCAGCCATAATTCTGGAAAAAATCTTGTTTTCTTCATTCTGCCTTTCAAAAACAAGGTGTGTGTTATATTTTGGGGGTGTAGTATGCAAGGAAATAGCTATGTTCTTTTCTCCTCATTTTGCATTAGATTATATTAGCAAGGATACCTGCCAAATGGTCAAGAAGCAACATCCTTCCTATCCTGCCTGCAACCATAATTCACTCTCTATCATGGCAATGCTGAGTGATAACCATATTTCTATCTCTTCCCTGACAGCTACTCTGTGAGGATGTGAATGTTGACCGATTCTTCCCTGTTCTCTACCCCAAGGTATGCCTTCAACTCCTGTGTGTCTCTCACATTAGGGGCCTGCTGGTGGGATGCAACTGAGGCTATTTTTATCCCTCCCCCAGGCTTCACAGCTCATTGTTGCATTCGATGAACATGTTATCAGCAATAACTTCAAATTTGGGGTCATATACCAGAAGCCTGGCCAGGTGAGTGATTTCTATGCCCTCTAGTGCACAGTTCTTAAGTTCAATCATATAAAACAAGGCTGTCCACCCCCCACTCTTGCCACTGTTTGTACCATACTGTGTGTGAATGGTGCCCACCCCATGCTGCACTGCCCTGTTCCTGAATGTGCTCTTTGCTGTTCTGCACCATGCTGTATGCGACTGCTCCCCCCTTGACTTCATCCTGTCATGTACAAATGCTCCCCTCCCCACACACGGCACCAAACTATAGTACACATGGGTTCTCCCCCTGCATAGTGCAATGTGTGAGGCCCCCAGTTCCCTCCCCAGCTCTTGAGGCTGTGGGCGATTCTGCCACACCCTGCAATGCTCTGGGGGTGGGGAAAGGAAGCAGAGGGAAGAGGACCCTAAAGCACTTGGCTCCTCATAGCAATGGGGGAGTAGTGGGAGGGCAAAACCCTGGGGGTGGGAGCAGGGCACATATTAGTCCTTCCTGGGCTGCATTATGGTCCTAACATAAGATAACCTTTCTAAATCTAAGCCCAGTATGAGTTACCATAACCCAACCTGGGAATAGCTTCCCACTGTTGTGGGAAACCTCAGTCCCATACTGGTCAGGATAGCCTTAGTAGTGCCAAGAACTGGCACTTTTATTACTTACACTCTTAGTTCTAGGGCTTCCTCCTTTCCCTGCTGCAACATTGTTGGAGTGCAACCAGAAAATGGTGCCACTTGCAGGCATTTACTTTCTTAGTCCTTTTTTTCTGAGGACTCCTTGTAGCTGTCAGTACATCCTGACCTCCTAAGATCTTCTCCTTCAGGACCCCAAGGAGGTATTGAAATCCCATGTTCATTAAGTTCTTCAGGTTTCTCTCCCTTTGCAGTCTCTGAGGGGATAGGTCACCTTGCTGGTACTAGAAATGATTTACATTCCTGGAGGACAAAACCTCTGTTTTATGTGAAGGAAAAGGAGACAGCTTTTTTTGTTTGAATGAAGGAGTTTAGGGCCCTGCACCTTGAGGAGACTCCAATGGCCACATTTCATTCCACCTATTAGCCATGTAAGTGGACTTCAGTGCTTATGTGTGATTCTTTTGCACCCTTCTTGTGTCCTGAAAATCAGTTAATGCAAAAGGTTGGTAGATCTCCTCCTCCTTGTTGCCTTTTGCCACTCAATTTTAAGGGTAAATAATGGTGTGTTAGAGAAGTAGATTCATTAATGGATTTCCAGGATTCACCAAGGTGACATAATTACACTTAGGAGCCAAAGTCCATTTACGTGCCTAATAAGCAAAATAGACTCTGTCCCTAAATGCAGAAGAAGCAGTGAGGGCCTTCCTCATGCCTGCCTACCTGCCTGCCTTCTCCAGGCAAGGGGTGGGTTTGTATAAGGAATAACTGCTAGTTCTGGCAACTTCTATCATCTCTTCTCTCAACTTTCAGACCACCGAGGAAGAGGTCTTCAGTAACACTGAGGAGAGTCTGGGCTTCTTGGAGTTCCTGGAGTTCCTTGGAGACAGGATCCAACTGCAGGATTTTCGTGGGTGAGTAGCCAGCGCAGCACAGGGATTCCAAATAAACATAGCTGTCATCAGACTTATTACCCATATGAAACATTGTTATGGACAGCCCAAAACAGAACTATGGACCTTCAGGTCCCAAATCCAGCTATGTCTTCTTTTGGGAGGTTTATATTCTCCCTGTGGTCAACCTGCCAAAAAGCCATGTCCCTGATCCAGCCATTTTACCATACAGGCCAATTTTTTAAAAGGAGTGTGTAATCTGAGACTCACAAGGTGCATCTACATGTGCAATTAATGAATAAATTCTGGCTCAATTTGGGCTGGAGCAAACTGATCTCAATATTACCATCTGCATGCACATTTAAGCACAGTAATTTACTCTGCTGTCAGATAGTACCTGTGTCTGTCAGCACTATCCTACACCAGAGTAAATTAATCTACTGCACCATAATTGTGGTACATGTGTAGACAGTGGTGCTTTACTGAGCAAAAAATGAGTCTACTGCACAGTAAAGTGCACATGTAGACACACCCACAGTGTCTGTGGGGCAGCCCGGAATGGCTTGCTCTGTATTTCTTCTGAAATCTTACTAGAGTTCTAGTCCCTTATGTCATGGTTTGCTTACATGTCTCAGTACCCAAGATGGCTTGGCCCTCACTCCTAGGGACTCCCTGGCTTTGGGCTTGATTGCTGGGAACTGTGCTGAAAAGTTTGAGAGCTTTGTATAGGAATACCATGGAGCTTCTGCAATGTTTTTTCACTCAGATGTTAGACTATGTGTCTAACAAACTCAGTCTGGCCCACCCCACAGGAACCAACCAAAAATGAAAGAGCTTTGATCAGGTGTACACAGTGATAATTTTAGGTGCCAGTGAACGTTATAATCTTGGTCCTTTTTCTCTGCTTCTGTGTGACATGCAATGCTCCCCACTCAACTGAGACAGAGGTTTCCAAGACTGCATGGTTCTTCTAAGGGTGTACATTTTGACTTGGATAGACTCCTTGCATTAATTTTTGGAGTGTATGGAATATGTCAATCGGTGAGCTATTAAAGTTGTCTCTGATGATAACCTTGACATACAAGCTAGTGTTACTGTGTCTCCTTTCTTTCCTTCCCATCATTCTCTCACCCAATCCATCCTAATTCACCACATTGAATTGATACATTTAGGTTCCGGGGAGGTTTGGATGTCACTAGGGGTCAAACAGGCACTGAATCAGTCTATACAAATTTCCGAGGCAAGGAGATCATGTTCCATGTGTCTACGAAGCTGCCCTTCACAGAGGGAGATGCTCAGCAGGTACTGTAAGGAGAAGGACTGAATGATTCAGCAAGATTGGCAGGTGAATTGTTTGATGCGAATAGCATCTGGCTTAGAATTGATTCAAGCAGGGAATGATTAACGGTGGGGGTGAGTTAGTCCTTGGGGTTTACAACAAGTTGGACTTCCAAAAGGGGGATGTAATAGTGTGGGTAGTGCTTAAGGTGCTGACTAAGAAGGTACTTTGGAAGTGCTGATGGGATTAGTGCCTGGCCACAGAATCTCCACTCTAACTATTTTTTCCCCATTTCACTTGCTCCCAGCTACAGCGGAAGCGTCACATTGGGAACGACATTGTAGCCATCATTTTCCAGGATGAAAACACACCCTTTGTTCCTGACATGATTGCTTCTAATTTCCTACATGCCTATGTGGTGGTACAGCTTACATATGATGCCAGCAGGGAAACCTTATACAAGGTATATAAAGCCAATGGGCTCCTCTGTGCATTGGAAGTTCCCTCTACTGTTGTAGTTTTCAAGTGCCTGTTGTGGTTTGAAAAAGCACACAGCTTCAACTTTGAACATAAATCTTGTTCAGCTTTTATTTTATTTATACTCTCAGCCAGGTGATCAGACTAGCTAATAACAGGGATAGTACTGGCTTAAACACAATGGTGTATTTCTATTCCACCTGTTTTAGACATGAGAAGTGCTTACATCAAGCATGCATCATTACTAATATATCTTTTGCCGATTAATGAACATAATCAACTTTTGTACATACTTTTTCTGTCTATTCTACCAGGTTTATTTGTACCCTTTGACATGCTTTCCTTACCTATTATACCAGTTGATACAGATTCTATCTCAGGATGTTCCTGAGTATATTTCTAGTGTTTTGCTGTTTTCTACCAATCTCTTGACATGTAGGCTATTGACTCTTATTGCTCCAGGCATGCCTTATAGTCTGTTCCTTTTTAATTTCCTTTCATTGCTTCTGGTGACTACAAGTTTTGTTTCTATGAAAACTAAACTTAATGTCCTAACAACTGGCTGGAAGCTTATATTTTCAAAGACATTCTACCAGGGTGTGAGTATATCATTTTTTACACCTTCTGCCTGTTCTTTTTGCCATTGGATAGGGTTATTTATTAGCAACAGTGTTTTTACTTCACCTTTATTAAAGAGATTATGTTATTATGCAGCTCGATGATGGATGTGCGGCTCTATGATAGCCATGGCATGAATCTGGACAAATTTACTCACATAGCTACCTGCTCCTGCAGGATGTTGTCACTGACACTAAGACAGAAAGCGTTAGTCCCAATCTGGATTGTAATTATTACACTTAAGTAGATCCCTTCCCAGCCTTTTGGATAGGTTTCTCTCCCTGTGGTGAAGCTGTGGCATCCCAAAATCCATTCAGTCTCTGCGAGCCATACCTTAACCAGATGTGATTGTACCAGTTGGGCCCAGTCTCTTTCACTACTTTTATCTTGCACTTCTGAATAGTAATAGTAAGCTTTTTTGCAATATATCTGATTAACTTCAAGGCTATCTTCAGTGACAAGTTTAAGGCTTGGGTAGTGCTGAGCAGAAATATTATTGACAATTATTCCAGCATTGTTTACATAAAATACCTTTTTGGTTTTTCCCTCCCATTCCCAACATGACAGCAATTGCGGCCTCATCCAACTGGTCATTTGGTATACTTTACATCAGCCAAAGTAGGTGATTCAAGCACCTACTTTGAACATCTTCAAGAGACTTTTGGATGTTTATCTTGCTGGGATCCTATGACCTCTGCTGACTTACTGCCCCTGGGGCTGGGGGCTGGACTTGAAGATCTTCCGAGGTCCCTTCCAGCCCTAACGTCTATGAAATCTATGAAGATCCCAGCCAAGGCTTTGTCTAGCTATGTCTTAAAAACCTCCAAGGATGGATATCCACAACCTCTCTGGGTAACCTGTTCCAGTGTTTCGCTACCCTCTTAGTGAGAAAGTTTCTCCTAATAATCTAACCTAAACTTCCCTTGCTAAAACTTGAGACCATTGCTTCTTGTTCTGTCATCTGCCACCACTGAGAACAGTCTAGCTTCATCCTCTTTGGAACCCCACTGCAGGTAGCTGAAGGCTGTTATCAAATCCCCCCTCAGTCTTCTCTTCTCCAGACTAAATAAACCCAGTTCCCTTATCCTCTCCTCAGAAGTCATGTACCCCAGCCCCCTAATCATTCTTGTTGCCCTCCACTGGACTCTCTCTGATTTGTCCTCATTCTTTCTGTAGTGGGGGACCTAGAACTGGACACAGTACTCCAGATGTGGCCTCACCAGTGCTGAATAGAGGGAAAAAATCACTTCTCTTGATCTGCTGGCAACACTCCTACCAATGTAGATAAGTTTCCCATTAGCCTTCTTCACAACAAGGGCACACTGTTGGCTCATATACAGCTTATTGTCCACTGTAATCCCCAGGTCCTTTTCTGCAGAGCTGCTGCTTAGCCAGTTGGTCCCCAGCCTACCGGTGCATGGGACTGTTCTGTCCTACTTGCAGGACTTTGCACTTGTCCTTGTTGAACCTCATGAGATTTATTTTGGTCTAATCCTCCAATTTGTCCAGGTCACACTGAATACTAGCCCTACCCTCCAGGGTATCTACTACTTTCCCCAGCTTGGTGTCATCTGCAAACTTGCTGAGGGTGCACTCTATGCCATCTTCCAGGTTGCTGATGAAGATATAAAACAAAACCAGCCCTAGGACTGACCCCTAGGGCACTGTACTTGAAACCAGGTGCATATCTTCTACTTCCCACAGCTTAATGTTATCTGCAAATTTGCTGAGGGTGCACTCTATCTGATCTTTCAGGTAACTGATGAAAATTATGAACAAAACTGGCCTCAGGACCAACCCCTGGGGCACTCCACTTGATACCGGCTGCCAAGTAGACATCGAACCATTGACTACTACCTCTGAGGTCGATGATCCAGCCAGTTTTCTGTCCACCTTACAGTCCATTCATCCAACCCATACTTTCTTAGCTTGCTTGTGAGAATGTTGTAGGAGACCACATCAAAAGGCTTGCTAAAGTCAAGGTATATTATATCCGGTGGTCTCCCCATATCCACAGAGCCAGTCATTTTGTCACGGAAAGCAATCAGGTTGGTCAGGCATGACTTGCCCTTGGTGAATCCACACTGACTGTTCCTAATCATCTTTTCCTCCAAGTGCTTAGAAGTGGATTCCTTGAGGGCCTGCTCCCTGATTTTTCCAGGAACTGAGGTGAGGCTGACTGGTTTGTAGCTTCCTAGATCCACCTTCTTCCTGTTCTTAAAGATAGGCACTATATTTACCCTTTTCCAATTATCAGGAACCTCTCCCAGTCGCCACGAGTTGTCAAAGATAATGGCCAGTGGCTCTGCAGTCATATCAGCCAATTCCCTTAGCACCCTCAGATGCATTGCATCTGGCCCCATTGTTGCACCAATGACCAATTTGCTCAAATGATGAGTGAGACCTTATGAGGGAGACAAGGCAAGATGCTGCATTTATTGATTATAAGATTAAAAAAAGCACTTATATATACATACACACACTCACTCCCAATCACTCTGCAGATGTTATAGTTACCAAAGTCCATTGCACCATGCTGCACTAGGTGGCCGGCCTAGGCGTATGAGGTAAGGGAGCAGGGGATGCAGGTGTGTCTGCTGCAGTGAAGTTTGCAGAGTGTTACCCAATGTCTTGATGCTAAGTCTCTCTCTTTTATAGGGGTTATCAAGTTGGTGTTGAGTGACTGGTCTGCCTTTTCTGATTCTGTGCCTTCTTTGTCTGAATCTCAGTACTTTTCCATCCTGGCATATGGTTAGGCTTATGCGTCATTGTCCAAAGTGTTGCTCTTCAATCACTCTGTTTACAACATTCCTTCTGTTATCATCAGTGTAGGCTGTGCCCATTATGAAGCGGAGTTTCTAGCCTCGCGATGTTTTGCAAACCTTGTCTTATCTTTGCCAGGTACAGACTGGTTTTTTCAGCCTTCCTCAGCACAATCCACTATTTGGTAACTTGTCGACTGACACGTAGCTTACTTCTCTTTTCCCCCATCCCTCTAATGTTAGTCCCTCATTTGGGCGATATGTATTTCCCTACCAGCTTTGTCATCTTTTTTTGGATTCACAATCCACGCTAATTCTTTGCTGTTTGTGAGCAACAAGTTAAGAAGATAATGGCCCCTAGTTGGCCTCTGTTACCTAGAACAGTGGCTCTCAACCTTATTTGTACTGGGACCCATTTGTAAACACTGATGGCTAGTCCCAACGCAGTAAATAGTTTAAGTAGAAGACATACAAGTATTATGGCCCCAAAATACTTATTTCACTCTACAAGTTAAAGCAGTTAAAAAGTCTTAATTTCAAAGAGAAAAATCAACATCAACAAGAAAACATTAACAGCAATAGCAACGCTCTCTTACTCCCAAGTAACATTCATCATTGTGCAATTTGAACAAATACTGTAAACTGATCTGCTGGTGCCTCTCACTCCTGACCCAACCCCCCCTGGCCCTGCTGGTGCCTTTCACTCCTGAACCACTGCTCCCGCTGCCAGGCCCCAGCCCCCTAGTATGTGGGGCAGAGAGTGCGCATGTGGGGTTCAGGTGGAGGGGGCATGGGGGTCATATACCCCCACCCCAGATTTGTTCACCCACAATAGGCACTGCAACCTGACTGGACTGGCATGGACAGGATCCACCTTTGCAATGCCCACGCTGCCTGCCATCCTGCCTCTCTTCCAGGGTAGAGCCATGGCCTGATGGAAGTGGTGGCAGCAGCAGTGGTCTGGCCATGGTGGTGAAGTAGAGCTGTGGCCTGGTGCGTGAGTAGCTGGCAACAGGAGGGGAGAGCAGTATGCTCCCTGCACCCTGTCCATTACTCCTCGCACTGCTGGTGGCGCAGCTGGCACTGGATCCTAGCAGCGGCAGCAACAAGTCCCTAACCCAGAGGTTTTTAACAGGCCTATCTCCAGTTTCATACTGGAGCTTTGAGCAATCATATGGCTCTTTTACATAAAGTGCAACTCTTCCTCCTCTTCTCCCCTGCCCATCCTTCCTGAACAGTTTATACCCATTCATGACAGTGTTCCAATCATGTGAGTTATCTCACCAAGTTTCTGTTATTCCAATCACATCATAGTTCAGTGACTGTGCTAGGACTTCCAGTTCTTCCTGCTTGTTTCCCAGGCTCCATGCATGTGTGTACAGGCACTCGAAGTAACTAGCTATTTGCCCTAGTTTCTCAGAAAGAATTAGAACACCTCCTCTGCTGCCCCCTTCTTCTTGTGCTTCCTCCAGGTTGCCTGCTTCCCTACTTAACTCAGAGTTTTGATCTCCATCCTCTGGCAGACCTAGCTTAAAGCCCTCTTCACTAGGCCAGAGAGCCTCTCTGCAAAGATGCTCTTCGCTTTCTTCATCAGGTGGAGCATGTC